CCAAACTAGTATGGTTAAGAAAAATGTGCATTCATAAAATTGTCATTTATCTATGAAAGTTAATGAAATGCCTATATTGAAAATAAATAGATAAATTGACTTTCACTATTGCTAGAACTTAAGAATTTACCCAAAGGTGAATCAATCATTCTATGAATAGTGAAAATTATGAGGTAAATTAATCTTTTTAGTCAAACATATATTGTATATCCAAAGATGTCGTATATGTTTGATTAAAAAATATTCAATTACCTATTAAAGATAAAATTGGCATTTAAATAATGATAATGTGTCGTAGTATCTACTCAAAGGAGAATTACGATATATTTTTATCGCTTTACTGAATTCACATTATTTTCTGATTTGTGAGCATGTATATCTATTTCGCGGTTATTTCTCTTTATTCACATGCTTCGTCTGTTACTGTGTTCAATGGATTGAACTTCTCTGAATGACATGAACAAGTGCAGTTCCACTTAGGTGTAATGGATCTTGACTTGGCTCCACTGAATGACAAACCTACTACCATTATTGATAAGAGCAGTGAGGATGAGAAGCTTGTTCATAAACCATGGAAATGCTCTAATAGATTAAGCCTTATGTTCATGCGAATGACTGTTGCTAACAACATTAAGCGTACTATTCCATAAATAGAAAGTGCCAGGGAATACTTGAAGTTTGTGGAAGAACGTTTTCATTTTGCTGATAAGTCTCTCGTTGGAACACCAACAACTGAACTCACGACCATGAAGTTTGATGGGTCGCACAGTATGCAAAATCATATCATCGAGATGACTGATATTGCAACAAGACTTTCGACCTTGGGGATGAAAGTGGATGACACCTTCTTGGTTCAGTTTATTCTGAACTCATTGCCTCTTAAGTATGGACCATTCCAAATAACTACAACACTATTAAGGATAAGTGGGATGTTAGTGAATTGTCCAGTATGCTTACTCAAGATGAATCAAGATTTAAGAAATAAGGAGGTCATTTCATTAACCTCATGGGTCAAGGAGCTGGTAAAGGACTTAAAGTGAAGGCCAACAAGTTTAAGAGAAAAAAAAACACCTGCTAAAGTTTCGCAGGATGCTCATAAGGAACTCAAGGCCGATATGTGTCGTTTCTGTAGAAATGAAGGACACTTTTACTAAATGACAGTTCCGCTTATTTGTGGCATAAATGTTTGGGTCATATATCCAAAGACAGATTAAAAAGATTAGTAAAAAATGAGATTCTTCCGAATCTGAATTTTATTGATCTTGATATATTGTTTGGATTGCATTAAAGGAAAGCAAACCAAGAAAAGTGTCACAAAAAGCACTTAATTTCTTGTAATTATACACACTAATATTAGCGGACCCTTTGATGTTTCATCTTTTGGTGGAGAAAAATATTTTATCACCTTTATCGATGATTTTTCACTCTATGGATTTATCTATTTGTTGAAAGAAAAATTTCAAGCAGCGGACGCTTTCAAAGTGTACGTTAATGAGGTTGAAAGACGATTAGATAGGAAAGTGAAAATCATTAGGTCAGATAGAGGTGGTGAATATTATGGAAAGTATAAGGAATTCAAACAATGTCCAAATCCATTTGCAAAATTCCTTGAGAATGGTGAAGTTAGTGGGAGTGTTGAACGACAAAGTGTGGAAATTAATGAGGTAAGGGTAAATATTTCATTGCCCATGAATGTACCTACTTCCGCACCAATCACAAATGTTGTTCCTCTTGTTGAGGAACACTTTAACAATGTTGAACAACATTTGGGTGAAACACTTCAAAAAGGAACTAACTCACAAGTATCTGACGCAAATGAACCACAAACAGTGCCATTAAGAAAATTGGCCATTTCAGATGATTTTGTGATTTATTTACAAGTGTCAGATTTTGACATTGGAATTAATAAAGATTCGATTTCATTTTCACAGACCATAGAAAGCACTGAGTCTAATAAATGGATTGATGTTATAATAAAAAGTTAAAATCCATGTAATACAACAAAGTCTGGGATCATGTTCAATTACCAGAAAATTCTAAAAGAATCGGGTGTAGATCGGTCTTTAAGACCAAACGCGATTCTAATGGTAATATTGAATGATATAAAGCCAGAATTGTTGCCAAGGGATACACTCAAAAAAAGAGGCATTGATCTTTTTCACTGGTCTCAAAGAAAGACTCATTAAGAATTGTTTTGGCCTTGGTAGCTCATTATGATTTAGAGTTACATCAAATGGATGTGAAAACTGTCTTTCTTAATAGAAACCTCGAGAAGGATGTTTATATGGACCAATTAGAGGGTTTCGAAATTAAAGAAAAAGATCAAATGGTGTATAAGCTAAAGAAGTCAATATATGGACTCAAACAAGCCTCCTGATAATGGTATATAAAGTTTAATGATACCATATCATCTTTTGGATTTAAGGAGATTACCGTTGATCGGTGTATATACCAAAAGATCAGTGGGAGTAAGTTTATATTTTCAGTCCTATATGTTGATGACATTTTACTTGTTGCTAATGATTTAGGCATATTGCGTGAGACAAAAAACTTTCTCTCTATGAACTTTGAAATGAAAGATATGGGTGAGGCATCCTATGTGATAGGGATAGAAATATTTCGTGATAGATCACAAGGATTATTGGGACTGTCTCAAAAAGGTTATATCGAAAGAGTTCTAGAGAGATTTAACATGAACAATTAAGAATAGTTCCTATTCAAAAAAATGGGACAAATTTAATCTCATGCAATGCCCAAAGAATGATGTAGAACGAAAAGAAATGAAATCAATTCCTTCATCTTCTATTGTTGGAAGTTTGATGTGTATTCAAACTTGCACAAGACCGGTTATTAGTTTTGCGGTCAGAATGCTAGGAAGATATCAAAGTAATCCTGGAATAAATTAATGAAAAAACTGCAAAGAAAGTTTGTGGCATGTTATGAAGCCACAATTCATGCATTGTGGCTGCAAAACTTTATTTCAGGACTTGGGATTGTCGACATCATTACCAAGCCGCTGAAAATTTATTGTGATAATGTTGCAACAATATTCTTCTCCAAGAACGATAAGTACTCTAAATGTGCCAAACATATGGAAATTAAATACTTAACTGTTAAGGAAGAAGTTCAGAAACGAAGAGTGTTACTTGAGAATATTAGAATTGATCTCATGATTGCAGATCCGTTAACAAAAGGCTTACAACCAAAGACATTTAAAGAACATGTTCAAAGAATGAGTCTTGGTTGTACTTATGATTGATACATTTATGATGTTTTTACACTCTAAGCTCAAATTATGTGTTTCTGATATACATTAATGAATTTCTTGTTTCTCATAATGGTGTATACATTATTGTCTTGAGATATTACAGGACAAGTCTCTATGAGACATTATTGTGGACCATAATGTTGTATGTTTTATAGCTTATGAACCTAGTATGATAAGTTGCTAATGTAGTAGTATATGGAAGGAAGTATGTAGCTTAAAATTTATGTACAACCGCCATAACTCGAATTAGTAGTTTGTTATATTGTGGTATGTATGATGGACATTATAGAAGAGATTTATTGTATGCGCAACTAATATTTATTAAATATTAATGTTATATGGTCATTGTACCAAGTGGGAGAATGTAAGAATTATTATTAATTATTTCTTACTTATGGCCCAAGTTTACTTGTAACCCAAGTAATACCATAAATAATATTTAATAAGGAATAGATCTCGTCTGTACATTGGTTACTTGATGGACGTACCAGATTAAGTCATAACCTCTATATATTGGTCATCCCTCCACCCATTAGGGTTACCACATATTCTCTACAATAATTCCATCGCTGACGGTTGTGGTAAAATAAAGTTAGGGCAAGGAGGTAGAAACCAATTTACGATTAACGCTTCCGATTCTCTCTGTGATGATGTCTCCGCATCAGGTATGTGCTCCTAACATTCTCTATTTAAGATTATCGTGTTCAAGATCTTGAAAGTATTTAATCTTACAGTGGTTACTTGTATATGTTTCACTTATTGAGATAGCCACATGATCCTACCAGTATACCGTGATTGTGTACTGATACTTCACTTGCTCTTTCTTTGTTGAGTACAGGGCATCTTCAGTTGGCCAGCAGAGATAGCTGACATGAGAGATAGCTCACCAGCAAGAACATAACCAACTACTGTTGTGGCCAAGAGCCTTGCATTTGAACCTGGTGCATCTCTGTTTGCACCTTTAACTCCTAGTAAGTTCAAGCAAGCTGACTGTGATGCAAGTTGAGTTCCACCACCCACTGTACCAACCTGAAATTCATACATACATAACAGTATAAGACAGGACAAATTAGGCATAAAAAAAGATGTGTATAAAACATGTGCAAGTTTGTCTCTTCCTTCGCATGCCACTTAATGATGGACTGAGGACATTATTAATATTTCTGGCATGACCTAACCTGCCTACTACACACCCCACTTGAATGACAGGGTCTCACTCATTAAATGTGAAGGATGCTACATGTCAATATTTCATCTGGACTTATTCTACTACTATTAAAATAGAGATCTCATGAAATTAAAGCCTGCATGCTCTTCGTTAAAACCTAGCACCCTCTCTTCAATAGTAGTATAGTACTAGTCATCGTTTCATATTAGTTGTTCACTTTCACCTCTAGACGTCTATTAAGAAATATGTATATATGATAGTGAAGTATGTCTAGATAGGTATTTTTTCCTAAAAAAATTTTCATCATGAATAAGTGAAAAATTTATGTCATAGAATATAATTTTCCTACTAATTTTTGTGGGGGGCCAACGTAACGTACAATACTAGAATGCATTTTCAAATGTGCGCCAACCACTAAAGATAAGTTCATGTTGGTAGACTGTACGATGAAGGCTGGATTGGTCCTCTCGTTCTTCTTATCTTATAACTATACATAGACGTTGATCATCATTATCAAAAACCCTGAGCATCTCAAAGAAATTAGTAGTAATAAGTATCACAAAAATGGCATTGCCTAATAATGATATTGGAGACGAAGCTAGGGAAGTTCTGTCTACTCAGGCACACATATGGAACCATACATTCAACTTCATCAGCTCCATGTCACTCAAATGTGTAATTCAGCTCCGAATTCCAGATATCATCCATAGCCATGGTCGAGCCATGACCCTCTCCGATTTAGTGAATGCCCTCTCTATCAACAAATCCAGAGGTCAGGATTCTATTTATCGTCTCATGCGTATGCTAATTCATGCCGGCTTCTTTATTCAAGAAGAAGAGGGTTATTTACTTACTCCGTCTTCACGTCTTCTCCTTAAAGATGAGCCTAATAATTTGAGCATGATTCCTTTCATTCAAATGATACTTGATCCAATTATGATGGATCCGTGGCACTATCTCAGCCAATGGATCCAAAATGGCGGGACTTCTCCATTTGCCACCACTCATGGGAAGCACATCTTTGTATTTAATGAAGCTATGGCAGGTGATGCCCGTTTGGTCATGAGCGTGTTGATTCAAAATGGGAAGGGAGTTTTTGAAGGGTTGAAATCGTTGGTGGACGCTGCAGGAGGCACTCGAACCGTAGCTAAAGCTATTGCTGAAGCATTTCCACAAATAAATTGTACTGTCTTAGATTTGCCTCATGTAATTGAAGGGCTTGAAGGAAGCAAGAACCTGAGCTATGTCGGAGGAGACATGTTTAACTCCATTCCTTCTGCCGATGCAGTTGTACTAAAGGTACGTAACTTAAAATTCATATTATAATACTCCGTAAATGTACATGTACATGTACGCACTAATGGTTTACCTTTGATGAATCATATATTATAAGCAGTCAGTGCTACTTGACTGGGAGGACGAAGATTGTATAAAAATATTGAAGAAATGTAAAGAAGCAATTTCAAATAAGGAGAATGGAGGAAAGGTGATCATCATTGACATGGTACCGATAGATCATAACGTAGAGAAAGAAGACGACGACAGTAAGACATATGAAACTCAACTTTTCTATGACATGCTTATGATGGTTGCTGTTTCTGGAAAACAAAAAAGGGAACAAGAATGGGCAAAACTCTTCTATGATGCTGGTTTTAGTGACTACAACATTATTCCTATCTTAGGATTAAGATGTGTTATTGAGGTTTACCCTTAATTGGACAAATTAAATAAAACATGACCCTGCATATATTTAATATTTTCCATTGCCACTAGTAATAATAAAAATAATAGAAGCCAGTAATTAATCTAGTGAAGATTGTTCCTTTTCCATTCTTTATGTGTTAATAAAAGAACTCTTGTATTGCTATGCGCATGAAGTGAAGTAAAGACTTTCTTCTGCTTTTTGATATTTAATCTTCTAAAGATAACTTTTCAACAAACAAAATTCCTTGAAAGTAATGTTTTCTTTCATGAGAATCTGATGAAGGGTTATAATGTGATGAGACAATTTTTTGGACAAAAAACAATGGTGTACCGTAGGGCTGGTAAAATGGTTGATAAATCCGACCCATTAATTAGATATGGGTCCGATAAACGATTTTATAAAAATGAATCAAATATCCACTAGAAAAGGGTTATTGAGATAAATAATATGGATATTCGTATCATCAACAGAAAATGGTTAAAATTACTCCTAAACTATGTGAAATAGACTACCTATATCCTCCGTTACATTTTGGATCAGAAATGCCACCGTCGTTTTCGTAAGAGACCACATATATTCTTAACAGTTAACAACCCAATTTTTTTATCCCTTCACCTAAGTGTTGCTAACTAGGATTCCACTAAATAATTACGGGGTCATTAAGTTTGAGCCGATCCATACAATTTTGTGTCGAAGAAGGAAACCACATTTTAGCAGAGGCGAGCAAGGTGCGAAACTTATTTCACAGCGCAAAGTTTTATGTTTATCAAGAATTATTTGTTGTGCATCAATGGTGGTTCTTCAAGCATATCTTGCGTGGAGACAAATTGGAAGTTCAAGCAATTGGCATTTTTTAGTGAAATCGGGTTGGGTCGGAAGCAATGGGTCAGCAACAATGGATTAGGGTTCGGTTTATAAATTGAATAAGAATTAATGATTTCATAATTTAGAAGGGCTAGGCCACCCCAACCCTCGGCCCTTCTAGGATTGGGTTGGATTGAACATTTTCCGACCCTTTCAAATGAAGGACCGGCCCACCCTAGCCCATCAAATTCCGTTGCCTGCGAGGTTTGGCCCGGCCCTTTTTGACAACTCTAGTTTGGAGATAAGGCATAAGAATCGCCATGAACTATGAAAAAATTGTCAATTGCACGCTTAAAATGTGTGAGAATTTTATCACCCGTGAATTCAATTCTTTTAGTACAGTATTATTTACGCCCTAAATTATGCAAGGTCCTATTACCCTGAAATTAATGGCCAGCCCGATACCAAAACATATGGGTCATTTATGAGCACAAATGTGTATAATAAGCGGTTGTTACATTAGTTTTGAAGACCTAAAATATGTAACGTTCCAATAGCATACAAAAGAAGCCAATACTCTCTCTTGTGTTCCCCTGTTTGTGCATTATTGGAAATGTTATTCTTCATCTCCCTATGTTAACAAAGGAACCGACCTCTTGTATATTTATTTATTTTCCTTTTATTAATGATCCTAAATTCCTAATGCAGAGTGTATGCAAATTAAGATCTTCTTTAATCATGTAAAATTAGGTATAATAATAATAAATGTTTTAGTATAATTTTCGAACTGGAAAATTTTGGTCAAAATGTGAATGATATACCAAGACAACATTTCATATTTAGAAGGAAAGTCATTAAATGTAAAAATTATGCAAACCACATAGTGTAAAACAGAAATTACCTCCTATCCCTACTCTTTCACAAATTACAAAAATCCCATCTTTTTAATAAGTATCGGATACATCATTACGCCGTGTGATACATTATATTTGATGTATGATTATCAGTTTGTTGCATGAGGTAAGGGATTATAAACTGAAAATTTAATTACATCCCCCCAAATATGCTACCGTTATTAAGTCCCTCAAAATATGGCTAAATTTATTTGTTTCAAACATTCAGTTTCAGTCTATATGAAACACTAAGATAATTAAAAAATACAATTTTTGAATTGTTTATCTCTGTTCGTCCAAAAAAAGCTTCATAAACGTGGTGCATAATTTTCAGTCACAAAATTTCATTAATGTAATTATTATCATACTTATTAGATACAAAAATGTCATTATTATCACATGTATTAGATACATAATTTCTGAAGTCCTAACTGAACTAAACATAAAATTAAAAGCGAAAATAAACATTTTTAAACCTCAAAACTCTTCCAAAATCAAAACTATATTATTATAAGGGCAATAAATACTCCAAAACACTAATTAATATATCTTAAAAAACAAAAAGCATTGCATATGTTTGTGAACAGTAACATAGAAAACTAACTAGCCTACATTAACAAGTTCATTTTCTGCTACTGGGTTTAAGACACTCTTCAGCCTTGGAGGGTCATCATTGTCGCTAACATATCCAGCATTGGCCTTGTCGAGACCATACTTCCATAACAATGTTGCATATTTTTTTGCGAAGATAATCACTTCGAAAGCTATCATATGACATGTTGATTTCGTCACTCAAGAATTCAGCAAATGCAGCTACGAACATTCCGCAATCACTAAAAAAAAAGATTAACATAATGATGTTGATACTTAATAGAAACAATAAGCTTACAGATGATACATAAGAATGTAAAAGTGTACTTGATACGTAATTCTAACTATAGATTATAAATATGATGTTGATACTTAATAGAAATAATAAGCTTTCAGATGATATATAGGAAGGTAAAATTGTACTTGAAACATAATTATAACTACAGATTATAAATATGATGTTGCTACTTAATAGTAACAATATGCTTTTAGATGATACATAAGAATGTAAAATTATACTTGATACATAATACTAACTACAGATTATGAATTAGTCGACTTGATACTTAATAGAAACAATAAGCTTTCAGATGATACATAAGAATGTAAAATTGTACTTGATACATAATACTAACTACAGATTATGAATTAGTTAACTTGATACTTAATAGAAACAATAAGCTTTCAAATGATACATAAAAATGTAAAATTGTACTTGATACATAATACCAACTACAGATTATGAATTAGTCAACTTGATACTTAATAGAAACAATAAGCTTTCAGATGATACATAAGAATGTAAAATTGTACTTGATACATAATACTAACTACAGATTATGAATTAGTCAACTTGATACTTAATAGAAACAATAAGCTTTCAGATGATACATAAAGATGTAAAATTGTACTTGATACATAATACTAACTACAGATTATAAATTAGTCAACTTGATACTTAATAGAAACAATACGCCAAATTATGAAACATTACGTTGTTCTGCAACATACATGTAATCCTCTAATTTGAACTTTAAACTTTCATACACTTTTGAGAACAAAAAAATGACCAATAATGCCTTTTCTGGTAAAATGAATAAATGACACACAAAACAACCATTTGATAAATTAATAATAACTATCAACAGTTCTATCTCATTATTTGAATTTTAACTTTTTGATACATTAGTCGTAATAAACGAACAAATATATCAAAAATTAGGATTTTGTGTAACAAAAGAATTTAATCAATATACATAATAATTTTTAATTAACAATAATGTATCTACTATTACACAAAACTCATTACATGTTAATACAGAAAATTACAAAAAAAAGAAAAAAAAATTAAAATACATACCGTTGGTAGTGCAGATCTGGATATGGCAGGGGTTTCTACCCCTTTTCTTGGGCGTTTTTGCATGTGCCTCCTTTTTAGTTTTTGACTATTTGGGTAATCCCCAAACTAAAAGACGGATGATCCATGAATTATTAGAAAATTAAAAAAAACGAAAATAAAAAGTTGAAGATGATGAGACTACCTATTTCAAATTCTGAAATTGGTTGAATGGAGTGCGAAATAGTTTGAAATTCAAACTTGGAATATGAATCTGTTGAGAAGATGGAGGAGAATTTTTGGAAGGGAAGTGTTCGTGAACAATAAAGTGGGAGAAATTAGAGGAGAGTAAATTTAGGGGTGGTAACTAATGGTTTGAAATTTTTAATAATAATGTATCTACTGTAGTTTAGTTTTTGGAAAAATAGGAATTTTTGAAATTTTTTAAGATAGTAGGGAGTTATTGTGAATACATTAACTAAGGTTGTCTATTCTAGTTATTTTTCCTTAAATATAAATGACTTTCCAATAGATGAATCCAAAGAATTTGATTTATGACAATTCTTACCATATCTTAAGAAATCAAATTTTATGTATAGTGAATCTCCTTAATTCTTCTAAATATGGCATGTTATTTATCACATGTCTTCAAATTTCTCTTATAAAATATAAATTTCATAGTCACAACATTACACATCTCAAAGAAAAAATCTCGCAAAAAAATGGCATTGCCTAATAAGATTGGAGACGAAACTAAAAAATGTCACTCAAATGTGCAATTTAGCTCGGAATTCTAGATATCATTCATAGCCATGGCCGAGCCATGATCCCATCTGATTTAGTGAATGCTCTCCCTATCAACAAATCAAAAGGTCACGATTGTATTTATCGTCTCATGCGTATTCTAATTCATGCTGGCTTCTTTAATCAAGGAGAAGAAGGTTATTTACTTACTCCAACTTCGCGTCTCCTCCTTAAAAATGAGCCGTTGAGTCTAGCCCCGTTTGTTCAAGCACAATTGGATCCAATTTTAATGGATCCATGGCACTCACTCAGTGAATGGTTCGCGAATGGGGACAAGCACAATTGGATCCAATTTTAATGGATCAATGGCACTCACTCGGTGAATGGTTCCCGAATGGGGACTCTACCCCATTCGCGACTGCTCATGGGAAGCCATTGTTTGAATATGCAGGGGATGACCCGAGGCTTAACCGTTTATTTAACGAAGCTATGGGAAGTGATGCATGGTTGATCATGAGTGTGTTGATTAAAAATGGTAAGGGAGTTTTTGAAGGGTTGAAATCGTTGGTGGACGTTGGAGGCGGCATTGGAACTGTGGCTAAAGCCATTTCTAATGCTTTTCCAGAGTTGAAATGCTCTGT